GATTAAAGTACCACGTGACCATGATCGCTTCAGTCGCCTGAGTCGCCTGTCGACTGAAGCGACTGAGGCGAGCGACTAAAGCGATTAGACAGAGAACGAAGGTTCTATATAAGACTGGCACATCTGCCATTTAGATAGGAGCTTCGTGCTCAACTTAGTTATCAATCTTATCATATTTGTTTGACATCTTTGATACAAGTAACGAGTTCACTTCCAAGTGAACAACCCGATAGTCTTCTTCTTATCATAGCATACCAACCAGCGAACACCCAGCCAAGTTTAGTTAGCCAGTTTGAGTATTCGTTACACTTAGTAAAATAAGATATAAATTCTTTATTATTTAGTTAGAAAGTATAAAATAAGTAAAAGTAGAAATAAAATAGAAAATAATTAAATAGAAGTATAGATTTATTATAAATAAAATATATATCTTAGAATACTTTATAGTATATTATTACTTATATTTACTTAACTTACTAGTAGTCTAAGAGTATAATTAGAAAAGTACTAAAATAAAACCGAGTATATGTAACGAATACTCAAACTGGCTAACTAAACTTGGCTGGGTGTTCGCTGGTTGGTATGCTATGATAAGAAGAAGACTATCGGGTTGTTCACTTGGATTAAGATTGATAACTAAGTTGAGCACGAAGCTCCTATCTAATGGCAGACGTGCCAGTCTTATATAGAACCTTCGTTCTCTTGTGCTATCTTGCTAGACTCGTCGCTCGGTCGCTGCTAGACTGGTAGACCAGTCGCCCCGTCTAGCGACATATATCACGTGACTGTAACAAAAGGAAATCCTTGGATCGCTTAGCTAGTCTAAGCATCCCTATTTGCTATAACTATTCGGATAGTGCTCGACCTGTCAGGGCGCCGCCTGATCTTCATTCGTCACGTAAACACGTGATTCGTGACATAAATATCTAAAATCTTTCATATTTACTTTTTTCTAATCTATTTATAAAACTTATTTATACTAGGATCCTAGCTAAGTATATCCTTATTATTCGTTCTGATATTAATAAGAGTAATACCTATTCTATTAATAGTATTACTATAAGTAGGGTAAAGAGTAATATATTATTAAAAGGTAGAATATTAGTTACTCTCTTAGAAGTTATATAGATAGACTAATATATATTAGTAGGAATAGCTTTAATTTTAAAGGTTATATATATAGATTACTATTGGGTTGAAAGGGTATTGGGTACTGAAGGTCATGGAGAATTGATTGCATTGTAAAAGGTAGCTATCTAAGGTGTTTATATAAAGAGTGTAAGGTTTAGGCAGACATGAAGCATTTAGGCAGCAGAGCTATAAGTGGATCAAATCAGGAAGTGGAGCAAAAGAGAAAGTAGACCCAGCACAACAATTACGTTAATAAACTAAAGATCAAAAAGTAGTGATTTTAGTAGTGTTTCGCTGATTTTTCGATAATTCGTGTCATATTTTAGTGGGCGGTTAACCAGGGTAGGCGGTTGTCCCGGGCGGACGAGTATGGCTGTAACATGGTCCCGTGACCATGTAGCGTGAATCCAACGCGCTCGCGACGGGAGGTCGACTTCAACAGGCGCGTCTCCCCAACCATCGCAGCATCCAGGATGGACAACACACACCAAGGCGCAAGCGCAAGCGCAGGGCTTAGCAAGTATGTGACGCTCATATCAAGTGATGGATTCGAGTTCGTTGTCTTGCGCGAGGCTGCTTGTATAAGCGGCGCTATCAAGAGGATGTTGGACCCAAAGAGCAAGTCTTCCCTTTTCCACTCTTCAGAGCTCTGCTCTCATCCTCAAGAGAAGCCAAAGCCTGTGTACCTCCGTACTCTGCTGACATTTACCCACAGGTGGCTTCTCTGAAGCAGCGACGGGTAGATGCACCTTTGCAGAGATCAAGTACGTTCTACGTTCGCCGAATTCCCAATCAATTTCATCTGCGGAAAGATGGGTCCTCTCCACCTTGAAAAAGGTCACCGTACAGGGAGGATAAAAATCTTCGCAGTCTATGATTACATCCAAGCTTTTGCATACAGAACCTCTTGCTCCTTGAGTAGGATGCGACGCTGGACGATGCCATAATACACTTGATATGAGACTCGCATTTGTTCTTTGTCTATCTTTGCTACACACATATTAAGGAAGGTACTAACGTCAGCTCGATAGTGGAATCGTCCTCGAAAAGGTTGCGGAATATTTCTACTACAACTACAAGAACCGGGATCGAGAGGATGTTCCTGATATGGAAATCCCACCGGAGCTTTGTCTTGAATTACTGATGGCGGCGGATTTCCTGGACAGTAAGCTGATGTGTCGTCCACGACAATACTCCCGCTAACATGGTTCCTAGCATGAGAAACGAATTAATGAAAGGCGTCAACGGTCACTGCGGAGACAGGATGAGCATATCTGCAATGGAGTTGGGGCGATTTTACAATCTCGAATAGAATCCCACTTCCGCCTCCTATTTTCCTAGCAAACATACGTGACGCCGTTGAATCGAAATCAACCTCACACCCATTTGAGCATATGCGTTCAACTCACTCTTCCGTGGGTTGAACGTCTATAGATGATGGAAGAATGAAACTTTTCCAATTGCTGGGCCTATTTCTGTTTTCTCAAAGAAGGTGGCCTTGCTTTCGGGATACATCAATGTTGCCCATCAAGATCCATTTGGATTACTTGAGCAGCTTCGGAATACGCAATTCTCAGACGTTCTATCATTCATTCTCCTATATCAATACAATTTATCTTCAATCCCCGCCGTTTGCACATCTGCCTATGTAAACGCATGTCCACTGTGGCCCAAATTTGATTTTGTATGTTGTGAGCGGTATCATTTTCAGTTGTCCATAATCATATACCTACTCATCTAGTGGAAAGAAAATGCGAATGTCTTGACGGACAACGTGTAAGTTTCAATACCTGTATAGAAATATTGTTCGCCAGCTGGCATACTAACATATAGTTTAGCTTGTCACTGTTAGCTTCTACCATTGGAAAAGAGCACATTGCTTAAAGCGTGTATCACCACTTAATGAATCGAGGGCATGTACTATACTTTGATCGCTTATGTACCACTCTCATCTAGTGAGAGAATATTGTACAGGCCCTTGACCGAATGAAATAGTGGATGAAGGCACATGCAGCCGCACTACCACGCGCTTCTTGCATTAGGGTTCTCGATCTTCCTCATTACAGATTCATTTTCACAGCTGCTACTAGAGTCTGGAACCTTACATTTTATTATGTTGTTGTGGCATGCTCATCACTTGCAGCGTAACCAAGATGTTGTGATTCGCGACTGACTCGAAATATCTACACCCAATTCTGGGCGGAATATTGAGTTTTTGTCACACCTTACACGCCCCCTTTCTTGCCTCGTCTAATCCAATTTGCCTGCAGGAAGATTCAAACCTTGAACAATTCGTTGGCTACTGAGTTACATCAAGTACCAAATGACCTGGATTGCTCGCTCGACCGTTGCAGGTAACTGCAGTACAAATTCACAAATAAATATTTTGAACCAAGAAACAACAACAGTTACACAAACCTCAAGGAAGCCACAAGAAATAAACAATGCGAGTCCAGAACACATCCTCTACAATTATGTCAGTAACCATGTAGTAAGATACTGGTGTCGGCATTTTTGCCCGAAAGGGCCCCCACTTATCATAGACATCAGCCACTAACTAGGAATCGTAATCCAGGAACATCCATCCCACTGACGATATCTCAGTGAAGCAAGACATTGCATAATCATAATGGCTGTGATAAAAAATTGAAAATTCTTCTTTTTTCCTCTCGCAGTCGTAGTATATATATAATTCACCAATACCTACTCACCAGAAAACAAGCTTATTACATATAAAGTTTGCCACCTGAGCAGCTGAATCACCAAATTCTGATTTTGGAAGATGGGTCAACATTATAAGGAAATTGCTGCGATCGCTCAGAAACGACGGGAAGATGCTATTCCCAAGGAGTATTTGCTTCCAGATGAGGTGATGAAGGGGTTACCGAGGAATTTAACGGGTATTCCGAGGACTTCGAAACACTTTTCGGTCGAGGAATTGGAGATCGTCGAGTCGGAAGCGGAGGATATTTTGTTCAAGATTAAGAATGGAATTTGGACGGCGGTGGAAGTTACAAAGGCGTTCTGTAAGGCGAGTGTTGTTGCTCATCAACTAGTATGTACCTAATTCCCCCTTCTCATTCAGATTTAAATAGGAACTAATGCGATTCAGACAAACTGCCTAACCGAGATTCTCTTCCCGGAAGCCCTCAAACGCGCACAATTCTTAGATGAGCACCTTCAGAAAACAGGCCAGGTAATAGGTCCGCTGCATGGCCTCCCCATATCTCTAAAAGACTGTATGATCACGCCTCCCCATCCTTCATCGCTGGGAATGGCATGCTACGCCAACGAGCCCACGTCCCCCGAGGAAGAAACCGTCCTCGTCAGTATCCTAGCGAAACTCGGTGCTGTCTTCTATGTGAAGACTGCGGTACCGGTTGCCATGATGATGATGGAGACGATTAGTAATCTCTGGGGCGAAACGAATGGAGCGTACCACAGCGGTACGAGCTCGGGTGGTAGTAGTGGTGGTGAAGGTGTGCTTTTGGCGATGAAAGGAAGTCCGCTTGGGGTGGGGACGGATATTGGGGGGAGTATTAGGATTCCTAGTTCGTTTAATTATCTATATGGGTTGAAGCCTACGTACGTTCTCTTCCTCCACTAAAAACCCAAATCCTTACATCTTGTAGATTCGGACGATTCCCCGTCTACGGCACGAAATCAGGAATCTCGGGTCAGGACTTTATATACTCCAACAACGGACCTATGTCCCGCTCCCTCTCAACCCTAAAGTTATACTGCAAAGCAGTCCTCTCCACCTCCGTCTCACCCTGGAACCTCGATCCAAAGTGTCTCGCCATTCCATGGAGAGAAAACACCCCTCTCCCCAAGAAACTCCGCTTCGGAATAATCCCCGACAACGACGGCGAAATCCACGTCCACCCCCCCATATCCCGCGGTCTCGCCCTCACCAAAGCCGCCCTCCTCGCAGCAGGCCACACCGTCATCCCCTGGTCCCCAAAGAACCACCCCGAGATGGCCGCTGAAATGAACAACTCCTTCTACACCCTGGGCGGAGCCGCAATCCTCGAACTCACACGGAAACACTCCGAGCCCGTCTTCGGATCTATGAAAGCCTACGAGAGAGCGTATGAAGTTGGTGAACATGGGACTTTAGGACCCACGAAGTTAAGCGAGATGATTAACCGCCGGAATGCGTTTCAGAAGGCGTATTTGGATCGTTGGAATGCTACGAGAGGGGAGGGGGAGGAAGTCATGGATGGGATTATTTGTCCGGCGAGTCCGTGGACGGCGCCTAGGTTGGGGGTTACGCAGACGGAGGTTTTTTGTGTGAATTTTACGGGGGTGTTTAATCTTTTAGGTATTTCCCCCCTCTTTTCCTATCTTATTTCCTTCCCCTTTGCTCGCTTTTCACCTTGGAGATATCAAACTAACAAAATTAGACTACCCCGCCTGCACATTTCCCGTCACATTCGCAGACAAGGAATTAGACAAAGTACGCACGGATTGGACGCCATTAAACAAGAAGGATAGGGCTCTACAAGCTGATTACGACCCCGAGTTTTATCATGGGACGCCGGTTAGTTTGCAGTGTGTGGGGAGGAGGTTGGAGGATGAGAAGGTGCTTGAGATGACGGGGGCTGTGGCTGAGGCTTTGAAGGCTTATTCTTGAGGATATGCTGTGTAGGTAGCATAGGTAGCATTAGGATGGCTTATGTTTTGGGCATGTGCTTGTAGATTGTTTTTTCATGGTGCTTGGAGAACTTATTTGTTAGGAAGTTTTTGGAAGTTGGTGATTCTTTTTGAAAAGTTCTAGGAGGTGGAAATTGCTAGGTTGGTACTTGACTTTACTAGATGTTATATTACTAGACTCTGAGTTAATCAGAACCACTTCACTTCACTGTCAGACTGTCTCAAAGTCACTCAACACACTCACATCACAGGCCTCAACTTATCTCATTCTCACACCATCCATACACATCCCACTAGAATCTGAATACCTTCTAACATTCAGTATATCACAAACGGCAAACCGCCACGCAACACATGTAACTACCTAAAATTGGTAGTATGCTTGGGAATGGAGGAGGGCTCAAAAGATCGCCGACTGATCATAGGGTTGTTATTATTATAGTAATAAGTGCTCTAAGTGTAATCCAAAAGCTAAATATGCCCCTCGCTTAGTCACGCTCGGGACGCGAAAGAACTCTCGGTAGTTGAAATCAGACCTGGTGAACATAGAACGTATTATAAGGAGTAAAGAAATGAGAAGTAGAGTGTATTCACATGGCGTCGCCATCTACCTCAAAGGCCTACTTACTATATTTACACGCTCTTGCTATCCACTCTAATCTGATCACCTCTATGCGTATTCCTTAAAAAGAGTAATATGTGTGACGCACCAAAACACCCAAACGCCCTCGTGATCTCCAACCTCACCAATACCCCTTCCTCTCCCAAAATCTCGGTATATACACAGAAGTACAATTACCCTCCATCCCTCTTCCCACTCCCCACACTACTCCCCCATCAGATCCTCATAAGCCTTCCTATCCCTCTCAATATCCTCCTTGCTCATCCCCTCCTTCTCGTCCTTACTCATCCCCTCTTTCTCCTCCTTGCCCACAACAGGATGATATCTAATCTGCAACCTCGGATGCTTCTCATACTTCAACTGCCTAAGCCCCTTCCATTCAACAGGTTTTGACTGCCCCTGCAGCGTCTTCTTCGCAAGTTCCAACCTCGTCTCAACAACCTCGTCAAGTAACTCCTTCCTATGAGATCTAAGAAGCGTGGAAAGCTGACTATCTAGTCGGTCCCGAGTTTCAAGATCGGCCACTTCGATTTCATCTCTCTCCTCTACCAGTCTTTGGATGTCGGCTTCTAAGGGAGTGGGCGTCATGGCTGACCTGCGGAGTCGGAACCGACGGAGTTGGGAACGCAGAGCTTTATTCATTATTCCTTTCTTGACGACATGACGATCTCTCCTGTTGCTCTTTACCCGAAGGACTTTGATGATAGGTCTGTGGGATTTCTTATTGTCATGAAAAGTCGTGGTTTTATCCGACCTTTGTAGAATAGGTTTCATTTTCATTCCCTCGAAAGACGCTCCGATAGTCTTGGTAGTACGACGGTTATAAAACTTGATTATGTCAATAGTTGACTCAATCAATTTAGCAGTTGCACTGATCCATCTTGCACGTGCCGCGATCCTGGCTTCGATGCTGTTGATGAGAATATTGCGAAACAAACGTGTGAGCTGCGTGTTCGATCCCACCATCTCGTTGGCTGTGAAGATCCAATTCGCATTTGCTTTCGCGGTGCCATCGATATGAGTTTGTCGTTCGCCGGTTTCGCGCTCGTTAATACGACCTTTCATCAATACAAACTTTCTCAAAAGATCAGCAGCCTCCTGAACGCTCCCAGGCTCAAAAGTTTTACATTCAAGCTCATTGGATTTGGAGATTGACATGTTGTCCGGTTCTTCCACAGATGCTGTGTCATACCTGAGCTCTTTTGTATCCGAGCTCGTTAAGTTCTCTGGCTGGTCCACAAGAGACGTTTGCTCGTTGGATAAGTACGTGTTCTTGTCGTCTGCAAACGCCTGGTTTTCAATGTACTTCATCATGCTCCGCAAACTCTCCCAAGACAAGTATGGATGCAAGACAGGCTTCAGATCGCTCTCAGGTTGGATCCCGCAAAGCACGAGGAGTCTGCGTATTGCAAGCCGAGTAACTCGATCAAATGACAAAGCGGATTTTGTCCTCCCGTCATCCCAATACATCAGCATTGCCTGCAGAAGCTTGACACCACTTTTGAAATCACTGGTAGTCACACAACGGTCGATAAGCAATGGTAAGGTCTTAGGATAGACATATTGTGCCTCCCGAATTGCGGCTCGAAATGTACGCACACCGCTACGCAGACCATCAAATAAAAGCCATCCTCTGATAAGAGATTCGAAGACTAGCGGGGATCTGGGGTACTTTTCCATTAAGTACCCGTTTCGATGGCAAAGCTTAGTATCAGGCGATAATGCCCATTCCTGGACAGCCTGCTCCTCAGCGACTTGCCAGAGCAGTTTTCTCTTGACGTGCATATCTTTACCTTTCGGATTCACTCCTCTCATGCGCTGGATTACCAACCGAAAACCACGACCATCTCGCTTTGCGATATAGTGGTCAAGTATAAGTTTGACGGTATTGTCATCTAGTACCATCTTACTATCATCTAGTAAAGAATCCACTACGACCCGAGCGATTTGATGTTGTTGTAACCGAGTGAGCTCCTTGATCAGAATACTGTATGTTTCGACATTCGGCGGAGCGCTTGTGACCAGCAAATTGTAGCAAACTTTGGCAACAGCAGTTCGAATGGAATCCTGCTCGCCCGGGTTTACCATGGAGAACAGTTGCTTCATAGCACTATGCAGGGCATTGCGCTCTTTGACCACTTCTATATCTGATCTCCACGAGTATATCGGCGATTGGACAAATCTGTTTCTCAATTCAATCAACATTTGGGCTATTTCCCCCGTTTCTCCAGGCCATGGAGCACCTCTCGCCGTCAAACAATCTTGGGAAAGATATGCAAGGTTGCTGTTGTGCATCATCTGGTCGACAAGTCTTCGAATCATTGCCTCCATCTTTCGTAGGTGGACATCGGTTGTAGGTGCACGAGGCTCAATTCTTGTAACCATCTCTTGTAACATTTCTGGACCGGCTACGCTGTCCTCGCTCATCAGTGCATGGCTCGTCAGAATGTCTGTTTCCACACTCTCTGGTATATCTGCATTCCAAGCACTATAAAGGCTATTCCAGGTGGCCGTGTTCGCATCGATCCCACCATTGGAGTTGAGAGGCTCGAATGGTCTGCGTTGAGCATAAGAGTACTTATTGATTCGCCCATCCGAATTGAGTGTACCTGACTTTCGCACGGGATCTAGCTCAGGCTCCGTCGCGTTTTCGTGTTTAGTTGCTGGCCTTGCAGCACTTTCAGGGTTCAACTCATTCTTGAGCCCATCTACGACCTGATGCCAATTCGTGACTTCATTATCCACTTGGTCTTTCATCGAAGGCTCCGGTATATTGGTGACAGGCTTCCCAGCTTTGACATCTGCAATCGCCTGATCCCAAGCCTTCAATCTTTCCTCCTTCACCCGGGCATCTGCGAGAGCAGCCGTGGCTAGAATTGAGGAGTAACATGCCGTAATGAATTCGCCTGCGGTGGGCTTACGCCTTCGTATTCCTGCGGTGGTGGTTCTTCGACCGATGGCTATGGTAGAGTGTAGACAGGAGCTGCAATGACAGGATGACCTGATCTGCGCAGTGCGAGACCAAAGGCTTTGCATATTAGACGCATGTTGGACCTATGGGAGTTTGCCTAATCAAACGTCGCGCTACTCAATTGCGTAGCATATCAAATGGCAATTGCATGTGACGGAGGCGTAGGCATTTTGGAAGTTCGAGGTTGATGTTGAAGTTGATGTGGGATGGGTGATGGGAGCGATTTGAATTTCAAAAGTATTTCGTGCTGCTTTAGAAGCCCGCAATCGAGGAGCCCCTCCAAATTGTCCCCTCCCGCCATCTCATCACTTGGATACCTACCTATACACTCGCACAACAACACCAAATCTGAGCAAGCAGACCGCATCTATGTTGACTCTTACTCTTACTGCCGAACTCAACGGGTTTGTAATCAACTTATCTATGTATGGTAAATACGTGCTGACCAGGAACCTCCACATAGCGTCACAGATCTAAGACCTGACGATAGCGAGGAAAATCCATTCTGGTACACTTTCAAAGTTCAATGTACCTCTTGCAGAGAGATACATCCAAACTTCGTCTCTGTCAGTAGATTTGTAAGTTGTATGAAAGGCTATATGACAGACAGAAACTGATCAAAGCATAGGAAACAAATGAGATGAGCGGCAGCAGAGGAGAGGCGAATTTCGTTTGGAAGTGCAAATCATGCAAGGTATTTCACTTAATAAACTTCAAATCATGTAAGACTAAATACTGACTCATGAAATTTTCAGAGAGAATCTTCTGCGACTATCAAAATCCCACCAATTCCATACGAGCAAGCTTCGCCACCAACACGGCAAAAGATCATTGAATTTGATTGCCGTGGACTTGAGTTTACAGAATTTAAGCCAGAGGTAAGCCCACTTCATAGTTGTAATTTCGATTAGCTGTAATGTTCTAATGAATTACCTAGGGAGAATGGTTGGCAACTGGTCTTGAGTCAAATAGCAAATTTACCGCTATTGAACTTGATGACGGAGAGTGGTTTGATTATGACGAGAAAGCAGGCGATGAAGTCAGTATCAAAGAACTGAAATGGGAAATTCGGAGGAATTGATGAGTGGTATGGGATTTGGAGAATTGAAGTAGAATGATTTCCATGTCTTATGATGAAGTCCATGACAATAAGCAGAATATAAAGAAATTCAAACGTGAATATCACAACCGCAAAAATTCACACTTGATCTCATTCTCTTGATTAAAATATTTTACACAGCACAAAAAATCCATGGCCACAGAAAAGTGATAAGTGAATTCTAGATTTATATCCAGGATTTATCCTCAGCCTTGCCAAGCCTCTCACCTCAAAAGCAGCACGCAACCTCCAACCCCATCAACCCGCAGCCTCAATAATTCTCAAGCTCCAGACGCGCCAACCAAACCCACGCGCCTCCACCTCACAACATCTACAACCCTCAAAATGAGTGCCGTAAGTTCTCTCCTCCCTTTCCTATCTCCTAACTAACGAAAACTACAGTTCATGCCCATCAACCCGCGGCCTATGCTGCAAAACCTGTACGTTTTCAATCCCCGCGATTCTCCACCGACTACAGCGACACATATAGAAAGAGGGGGATGAAGAGAAAGGACGAGAGAAGAGTAATAGAAGAGGATAAAGGCTAATGGGAAACCAGTGTCAACGAGGAAGTCATAATCCGCCTGAAATGGGGACAGACCGAGTACAAGGGTCGTCTTGTTAGCATTGATTCTTATATGAACATCCAGCTATCCGGAGCGGAGGAGTGGATTGATCAGCAGATGACTAGTGTTTTGGGGCAGGTTCTGATTAGGTACTATCGCTTCCCTTATACGTACTTTGAAGGGGATTTTTGAGCTCAGTTTCGCGGCGGAATATTTGTTGACTGTTGTTGTTGGGTAGATGCAATAATGTCCTTTGGATTCAAGGTGCGAATCAAAATAATGGGAATGGAGATACGAAGATGGAAGGATGAGGTGAACAGAGGAATGGACGATGAGCAACTTGGTATTTGTGATGGGTTTAGAGAGGACGGAGAGGTGTGAAGAGGAGCCAAATACCAGATATCAGATACCAGACCAAAATAATCATGGGCATGTCGATGGGCAAGGCGTTCAAGAAAAGCATCATACCTGGCGAATTGAATTTTTTGATACCTCAGTCTGATGCTCTCTTCTTCAAGCTTCTTACATGTTGCGCTGGAGCAATGAAAGCTATGTTAGGAATATATCATGACTTCAGAAATGAAACATCCATGGACTCACGAGCAGATGGATTCTCGAATTGCTTTATATTAATGCTAGCACGAGAACTTGTTTTTTCTTCTTTATCCAAATTCTACTCGTAAATCAACAATATATTCTTACATTGCTATATTCATCGGGGTTCAATATCTAAATTGTAAAATTGGGTTTTTAGAAAGCTAAAAGAAAAACATAAACGCCTTTTATTTAATCAGATATAAGAGGCGTTATATAGCTATTTATCATAGGTCCAATTGGAAAAACTATGGCTTAAACTTGTTGTATTAAATCCCTAGGTACATTCGCAAAGACTTGCAGCCTAAGTACCAGGATTTTAAGTAGGTTGAAGTGTAAATTAGTCTTGAGGTGAATTTCACTTTGTTGTCATCCTCTGTTTTTATCTTGTTTTTACAACATCAACTGATTCCACCAACAAACCAGGCATACCCTACCTTACCTAAGCAAACCGACCGGTCTGGGGTCCCAATACATTGACGCCCCGGCGTCAGTTTAGAGCTGACTAAGCGCGGGTTTTCACGCCCCCCCACCACCGAAATGCGCGCGCGTCGCATTTCGAAAAACTGGCTGCCAGTTCTCAATAGTAGCGCTTGAATGTATGAATTCTCAATGGGAGTTACGCTATAGGCCTGGCGTAGAGTATAGTCTACATAACCACCTTCCAAGTCAACCAGTTAGCTCTCATCCAGCACACCGGAAGCTAGCACAAGCAGAGATAAATCAGGCTAGATCTTTACACAATGCAGGTAAGATAGANGAGTATAGTCTACATAACCACCTTCCAAGTCAATCAGTTAGCTCTCATCCAGCACACCGGAAGCTAGCACAAGCAGAGATAAATCAGGCTAGATCTTTACACAATGCAGGTAAGATAGAAAGTAACTTGAAATAATTTAAGTCTAATATATATTTAGGGATTAAGCCAAGCCAAGCAATTACATACCTTCGCCAGATAACTACTACCCCACTTCAACCGTACGACATATATAATGTCACGAATCACGTGCTCACGTGATACTTGTCATAATAAGAGGCGCAACCCTCGACAGGCATACCCAGGTTTCTTATAGCAAATAGGGATCGCTTAGGGTAGCTAAGCGATTCAGGGATTTCCATTGGTTATGGTCACATGATTAAGTTGGATCGCTGGATCGCTCGGCGACCTAGCGAAACGGACCGCCAGCTCGATAGGCGAGTTGGCTACCCAGATCATAGTACTTGAGGATGAAGGTTCTATATAAGACTGGCACGTCTGCCATTAGATAGGAGCTTCGTGCTCAACTTAGTTATCAATCTTATCATATTAGTTTGACATCTTTGATACAAGTAACGAGTTCACTTCCAAGTGAACAACCCGATAGTCTTCTTCTTATCATA